ACGAGATCGAGCCACAATCAGGACAACCATAAGGCCGAGGCCTCTACGTCCTGGAAGATTGGATTGGATTGGATTGGAGCTGACAACACAACGATCTGGATGCACAATTGGTCTCCACCACTTCCGTTCTGTGCAAACTGAACTGAAATGGAATGAAGGACACCTCACAGGCGAAGGCCTCCTCACGTCCTGCAATTTGAAATTTGATTTGAAATCTTTGTTTTGTTGCGTTCCTACCACATACTATCATTTGTTGCCCTTCGGACTTCTTTTGATTTACAAGGTCGTGGGACGGGCTACCGCGGGGATGGCGTTCCGTTTATTGATGATAGTGAAGTGTTTTCTATTGCTTTTGTTGTCGGTAGACTCTAGAAGTCTATTCACTTACAGCGAGTCATTCCTTTTCTTCAAATGGTATACCCCGGATCCGGAGGTGAAGGAAAATGCTGTAAATACATTTAGCTGTTTTGACCTATTAATGTTGTGCTCTTTTTAGACAGAAATCATCCGTAGCCATGGGTATGATACAGAAGAACACTTTGTTGAGACCAAAGATGGATACATTCTATGCTTGATTCGAATGCGAAATACGGAACGCATACCCTCGCGTAAGTTTCTGGAGGAATGTATCGAACTCAATTGAAGAAACCTTTGATGTTGAGTGCTATTTGTCTTCCGCATTAGACTAACTTTTAAAAATAGTGCGATTTCAGCGAAATTCCAGTGTATTCACTTCATAGGATATCCTACGAAGCAAATATATAGGCCTGTGTATATACTATATACTATACTATATTCCGGAATATATTTTATCTTTGATCAATTCCCAGCCGGCACCATTATTATGTTAGAGTCCTGTAATTCAAATAGTTCTTTTTATTCCTTTTGGATCTCAAAGGGATGCGAATATTATTTTTCACTCTTCAGTTTTGAGGACAGAAGGCAGGTATAAGCTCTCTTACTACTGATTCAACGGTCCAATCACATGTAGTCGTTCCTCCATAGTCTTCTTAGGTACTCAGTCAAACACCGATTGAAATCAGCGCCTGTCATACTCTCCATCGCAGTCGCCGGAGCTTTGTTGACCTCCGCGAGAGTCGGTATATTAACGACAAACCAACCGACTGAAGTTCCCCAACGTGAATACCCTACGTGTGTTACTGTTTGTAGCCGGAAATGGTGCTGAAACCATAGGCCCATATTACCCCTCAGGATCTTCCTCAGACAGATCAGATCCGCCTTATGTGCCGATAGGCAACGTGGAATATACCACTGTCCTGTAGACGATGTTCTTTGCTGGTCCCGCGAAGTCCGGTAATTAGACTGGTGGAAGCATGTTGTACCGCTACAAAGTGGCCAGTTCACCGATTGTGCAGAGGTATGTCGCGGCACCACCATACTCAAGTCTCGGTCTGATATGGAAAGCGTACAACAATCGGAAGCCGTCCATCGCAAATCGACCAGAATATATCTGAACGGGTCCTGGAATGCTCCACACATTGTATCTTTGTTCTATTATCCTATATTTCCAGAGAAAAACAGTCACAGCTGGAGTATTCCAGTTTAAACGGTTTATCTTGGTAATCTATATAGGCACCAGCACTCTAAAGGTATAAATGCTTCATAATTTCTTTACTAACAAATATCACTTAATTCAGTGGTTTATCACAACTTTTATTAAAAATAAAATTTTCAATAAAAGTGCTTTCCAAAATCAATTTTTTCCCAAACCAATGTCCACTAAATAAACATTCGTTTACTTTGTTTGATTTAATTCTGCAAACTACCTCTCGGATCTTTTAATCGCCTCTGCATTTACTCTCTAACCTTGAGATTACTTTTGTCTTCAAAGGCTTTTCATGGAACAGACTGCGTATAAAAACAACTGGACTCACCAACTACTAACTCAGCGATAAATATTGTCTATGAAGGACACCTGTTATTGCATTCTGATCTGGAAATCAGCTCTAATGATTATGCAGTACTCAGCTGTCACGCGCTGAAACATTAGATGACCCTTTCGTTAGCAGATCCATTCAGTTTATTTTAAGTATCCCAGAAGACCAGGTTTCGGTTCAGAATGGCGTTTATTGTCGGTCCATCGTTTTATCTTGACCATTGGTCTCACGTCCTGATAGAAGCGGGCGGAACGTAGACAGGACAGCACCTTATTAGTTGGGTGCTACCCAGCTTTGGCGGGCGGTGTCTGTTCAATGAAATGTGAATACTTCTCCCACGATCAAGAGGATGTCTCAGGTACACGTTTACGTTCATCTAGCTGAGGTTTACACAACACGCGTGTCACCAGATAGATTGCCACGGTGCGCGCTGTTTCCCGAGGTAGGGGATAAATGAAAAAGGTGATCAAACTAAAATCTAGCATAAGGTAATGAAAATCCTGATAGAGGGGCTTACTCGCATAGGTCGCGATACTTTTCATGGATGGACAGATTGGGATCAGCGTGGTCAATGATTAGAGATGCTAAGTAATACGGCCGAGTGTCGTAAACAGTAATGCTAGTGCATTTTACCAATCTATTCGTAACCTTGTTATTAATGAATCCTTTATTATCACTTTGATACTGGTTTAAATATTCCGTTTATTCATAATCTTCAATTCTAACAGTTACATCTTTCCCTATACTCTGTATCCCACCCACCCCAATGTTATTGCTATTGTTAATATTGTTGTGGCGTTGGCACCATGCTTGTTCTCAAGCGGGCTCTCTCTTTCTACATATATATATATATATATATATATATATATATATTCAAAGTTTTCCTTTAATCCTTCATCCAGAGATAGCAACCAAAACTGGCACAAAGGTTATTAGTTGTAAAAACTGAAGTTCAAAATTAAGATAAACGGGGCCACAATAAATGAAAACAAGTTCGAAATGTTCAGCCTCGAAATTGGGTCCGTCAGAACTTCTCCCATCCAGAGCTTTTGGTGATAAAGGTGAACAAGATTCTTCACAAAACGATCCTGTATATACGGGGTACAGGTATCGCACTGTTGCAAGTTCACCTATTAGGACGTTTCTATAGCCTTAGGTGATGATCAATGAACTCATCCCAAGTTGAGGTGAAAAATCCACTTCATTGGAAATTATTCTTCGTTTCATCGGTTTGTTGTGCTTTCCCTTTTACACAAACATATGTTTTAACTCTACGATACCATTTTTAGCACGTATTCTTCGTGAATTGTTTTGTTCCTTTTATTCCCTTTTCTATCAAGTACACTTGAGCTAACTATGGGCTTCACATCTACAGAAGCCATAATCACAATTGCTAAAATAAGCGGAGATTTGATTTCTTTGTCACTAATAAAGTTTGATCGTCAAATAGAAAACCCGATGAAAAGATATCTATGACTAAGGCCATCCTTTGGTTGTTTCTCAGTGTGCTATCATCACATCAGTGAAGCAGTGTACTGTTTCTATTATTCATAAAATATCTACGATCCATTTGCTAAGGGTCTTACATATTTGAGAGCGATTAGATCAGAAAGTAATGCAGTTGCATTGCGTGAGGTTCTAAGCTCTTTAACGAAGTTGGAACATACCCAAAACTTACCACTCAGTCTTTTGAAGTAAATGTTTGTGCCCAGATATCGTTCTCCCACCTTGAAAGCGTAAAACCTAGGGATAACTTAATCATATTTTCGAGAAACTTACCTCGACTTTCTGGTTTTCTGTATAAAAAAAATCCGGAGAGCACACTATCTTCTTTTGGAAAGCCCTTTGAGCCATTCAGCATTCCTATGTAAAACTCCAACGATACTTTAAGAACTATCTACACCTCCCGCGTCCGACCTAGCTTAGACTGTGGTAATGCTGTCACATACACACCAAAAATGGTGGAATTCCAAAAGCGGAAAAGAGTGCAGAGAGTGGCAGTCCAACGTATCACAAGACTACATGCCACATAATACACTTTACACACAAAAGTAACCAGTCTGTTTCCCAAAACGTAGAAATGTATACGGCGAAATATACGTGTTAATTCAAGTTGAGAGCTACAGACGTACTTCCTCTTTCATTTAAAACTGAAAGCCTAACAATAAACTAATATTGCGAAACGTACCTTTCATTAAATTGTGGGTGTGCAAATTGGGAAGCGGGTCAACCACTGCATCTAGTATTCTTCCGGCCGATGTGATGATTGAATTTGAGGACAAGTAGTTCAGACCAACTTGACAGCTTTCTTCAGGTGATGCAACATTGGTCTGAGCGCTTGGATTGAGTTAGTGCAAGGTTTCTTTTTGCTTCTATTCAACCACCATTTAGTACTGAAAATTGCTTCAACCTTAATCTCCCAAAAATGGGGACCGCATACCAACTGCTTTTAGCTATTATCTAGTGCTTTAAATAAATTGTCCGCTGTGATTAAGTCATAGACGTCTGGTTTATTCCTATATGATTGGTTTCATGTATACCAATAAACGTTGTCGGGGTATTCAGGCCGAAAAGCTTGTGATCTATGCTCCTACGTTATCAGGCTCGAGTATCTTCGATGCAATTCAAAAGTCTAACTTTTGTGAAATCATGAACTTACCATAAATTAAGTTAAGTTATTAAGTTTTGAGAACAGCGTTTGAATTTAGTGTCTTTTTTGACAACTATTTGATATGTAAAGCAATGTGTTTCACATATATTTGAATCTAGACAGTACTTAACAGACCATAATGCGATAATCGTCATAAACAGAGACGTTTCCATGATTTGTCAAGCACGTTGTTAATCTCAATATTTTGAATGTACATTTGTAATGTTTTGGAGGAAAAATCTTTGATAATCTTCTCAAGCTTGTCAGTTGTTTGCGTTTTGAATATGAATAACTCTATCAGAATATATTTGTTCCACTACTTCTTAGGTGGAGGCAAGGTGGTGTTCTTGCAGCATGGACTTCTGGATTCCTCTCACACGTGGATCAACAACTTGCGAAATCAAAGTCTTGCGTTTATTTTGGCCGATGCGGGCTTTGATGTCTGGTTAGGCAACAGCAGAGGAAGTACCTACTCGCGACGCCATCGAAAGCTAAGTCCCGATCAGCTTGAATTCTGGGATTTCTCTTGGGATGACATGGCAGATTTCGATCTCCCAACCGCTCTGTATTACGTTCTGAATCGAACGAAAGTACAAACCCTTGGATACGTTGGCCATTCTCAGGTGAGAAGAGAAAATATTTCGGGGCTTTGAATAGCTGGCTACAAAAACCATTTTCTATTTAGGTTGCACAATACTTACGCTGTAATGTCGTGGGACGGCTTTGCTCGCTACTTTCCGGCTTCCCATTTTGCCAACCAGTAAAGGAGAAAAATTAAAGATTTAACAGCTAAGAGTACTTTGTAGATACTATAAAGACAACCAACGCTGTCCAGCACCAGCACCACTAAAGAAAGAAAGTGCACTTTATCTTACTTCTGACTACTAATATATTCCCGCAAGCATTTGTGGGAGGTCATTCTACCCATACTTTGCTGGCCACCCAGTCTGAACATGGATGAATATGACGAAATGTGTGATTTTCTGGCTGGCACTTCAACACAAATAGTTGCAACTAGCGCTTCTGGTCTAAGTTTTATTATGGGTTTATCGTGCCCCATAGGATTTTTACATATTATGTGGATAACTTCACAATGAAAATAATAATAATATGCGTGACTACTCACGGATGTCGAAATTTTAAGTATTCCAATGTTTTATCAAGTTGCGATTTAAATAGTTCAACTGTTGGAGCACACACTACATCGGATGGAAGAGAGTTCTATACACCGCACACTGTGACTGCAAACAGGTGATGCCGGTAATCAACGTGACTGTTCTGGGTCTTTACCTTTAGTGGATGTCCCCTGAGGTGAGCATTTAGAGATAAAGTCAACACAGGACGACAATGGTGGTTGGGTTGATGCAGTATGTGATATGCCAAGGTTAAGTACCCCCGAAGTCTGCGGTATTGAGATGAACAAAGTCCCAATCTGGTGATGAAAAGGAATGGGTAG